GGAATAATCTCTTTTCACTTAAATTGAAATATCTGGTATTCAGAAATGTTCTTTGCATTGTCTATTCCAACTTCATATGCTCGGCTCAGCATATCACCTATATACATCTGAGTGCTTTGTATATATGTTACAGACAAGTTATACTTCTGTAAGCAATGCAACACTCTTAGTAAGCGTATTGCTTTCAGGAATATTGAGACTAGTGGTTTGATTTTCAATTTGTCACTTTCTTGATAATGCCTTATTTCTTCATCTCATTGGTTTGTGTCTTTAATTATTCCTTGATGTGGAGCATGTGGAACTGGTTTAAAAGATTATATATACATTGTATTTATCTGTTATGCAACCTAAACCATTGAACATTAGAAGTATTCTATGCTTAGGGCTATTTCCATGACTGCAACCAACGTGTACATTGCTAACACTGCCATCATATAGTTTTTTCCTTCTAACATTACCTATCTGTACAATACTAAACAAATCTGAGTATGCCATAGCTACAAGTGGCACATGTATATAACTGTACTGTACATGTATATGAGTAATCAATCTGAAAATTAAAGGTATCATAAATTCAGAGCTATTCTTAGTGTCTGATATTGTACCTATTCGATAAGTTGTAAATATTGATCCATCTGCTGCACCTCTTATCTGATCTATGATTACTTTTGACTACTCGTTTGCATGATGGGATTCAATACGTCTTCTAAAATCTGGCACAGGTTATTTCACCCATCTCTAAGTCTTGTAGATGTATCACGTGTAACCAAAACAAATCTAGCTCTCAAGAGACCTTCATTAAGATTGCCAAATTCACAGGTTTCTGCTGACATAATCTCATGATATATGGATCCATAGATTCCTGTTCTATTTGATAAGCATAACCAAACTTCACTTCCTCGAACAAAAGTTGTTTTTGAGGCATGAAATATTCATCTAATTGTTTTCATAATTCTTTTATGATCTTGTTTATTAGCTTCAGACAATGTAGTTAGACTGTTCGTTATCTTTGTCTCTCAACTTAGTAGCTGTAGCACAATACTGCCATGATGGGCTGCGGCGCTGGTGTTTGATATGTTGCCATGTTAGGTCAATCCGAATATACACAGTTTGACAGTATTACATCGTCCAAATCGCACGGTTTCGCTAAAACCGGCCATTCATAACCGGCCCACGGCCGAATAAATGGTCCTTGGCTGGCTAAGATGACCGTATTAGTGAACAACATAGTTGGTTGGAAAATTCTCAAAACGACAATTTGCTATGCATAGTATCGCTGCGCAGTAGTTTAAGTGACGTCATCCATGTGATATACCACATGGCAGGCAATATACCATGTGATATCCATTTTTATTCAATGTCATGTGACCGTGTCTCAACCAATCATAGCATGCGTAACAACAGTAAGATGTGATAATGATGTATGGTATAACTATTTGTTGTCTACCCTCAGGCTGTTGGTCAAGACCACAATATTGACGATGCCTTCGGCTCGGCATCATCACCAGTCTTGTCCACCATCCCTTGGGCAAGCAACAAATCGTGATATTACCCTCGCAAACATGTGTTATTATTTAATTGTCATGTTGAGCGAAGTTGCTAGTACAGTGCTTGGTTCTAAAGAAGTCTTAGTTTGCAGTAAACAAATGTTCTATAAAAACATGGAAGATTTATTAAATAAGTTTGTACCTTATAAATCTTGGGAATCTATTCTACGTTCCCGCTATATATTATATTGATTTCGCAATTGTGTCTTATGTAGTTACAAAACAATATATGTACTAGAAACAATTATCTGTAATGTGTTGTGGATAGGGCGTGGACAAGTCTGCTTTAAATACTAGTAGTGGTCACATGGTGTTTTCACAATTAGTGTATGCTAATTTGAGCTGAACAACAACATGCAATAGGCAAAGTAAACCGATCTTATATCTTACCATGGAACTAAAAAGACTCTTACCATATGCAATTAGTGTTGGCAAACAGGATGTTGCCGATTATGGTCAACGACTTTATAATTAAAGCTGTGAACAGCATCACAAGGTTTGAAGCCTCACAATACAACCAAATGGTAAACTTGTTTTCGAAATTTAAACCACTTGATATATACATTTTACAAGCCAAATTTTAGATTCGTTTAGTATATATGTCAATGTTGCCATGGCAACATCAGATTGCAGAGAATACCAGAAGTATGCGAAACGAAGACTTTCGATTTTTGTTATATACTTGTGACCAATTGTAAATCATATATAAAGGATTAACGCACTTGTATACGAGTTAATCTGATTAAAATCCGATGAGGCTCCAATTTTTGTTATTATTATTATTTTTTTTATAACCCATTATATTATATTTATTTGTATTTTAGTTTGAATATGTCGATTTTTTGTTTGTTATTGCCGTTAATCATCGGATTACCTACATCGGATTTTAATCAGATTGGTATACGAGTATGCGAGCTGAAAACCAAAGTTCAAATCTAAGTAGTTAGTGTTGATAAAAATGTTTAAAATCATTCTATGCTTTTTGGTAAATTAGTTATGGCGCATACAATACAAAACTAAACTAAATATAATATTAAATATGAACATAAACATGAGCACTGATTAATTATGAATGTTTAAAGTGAAAATTTAAAATAGCCTCATGCATGATTCGAAAGCATGGCGACACAATTCAATTTTTTTCTCACTATTCGAACACCTAAAATGTACAAATTATTTATTTATAGTCCCAAAGTAATTAACAACAAACCTATGTAGGCAAGGAGGATATTTTGATTCAAGACCTTGAAGATTATCAGCTTCAGTACTAATGTTTCTCTCATAAAATGTGACATGAAAGATATATGGTGTTGGTCACACACGGAGAAGGATGTACTCAGTTATTTCGTAACACATTTTAAAGGGCGGCAGTCGTCGCGCTGCACATGTGCGACATTTGTGTTGATAAACACTGATTTTCCCACAAGCCGATGCGCTCTTTTTATGGAAATCACAAGTATGAGGTTTTACCTGGGAGCGACCGCCGTTGACTTCTTCGATACCTTCAAATCAGCAAAAAAATGCCCAATTAATCCTTCGTAACGTCTCAGTTTTACCCGTTGATCTGCGCAACAGTCTCGCGCATGCGTGGCGAGACGACTACCGCCCTTTAAGTATCGCCCCTCATATATGTGACCATCTGCATATTTGTCTGTCATTTGTTTGCTGTTATTGAGGACCAAACAAATCTATTCGCTGTTATTACAAAATGGTCTTCAGCATTTATCTTCGACTGTAATGTGTGTCGTTACAGTCATAAATATGATTGATGGCGCTGTCCATCGGCACTTATAATTGACTATTTTTTTTAAATTACTAAGCACTAAGCTTTAGTTAATTACACAGGTTTTGTGACCAGCTGTGTGTGATTAACGGTGCTGGTGTCTGCACCTTCAAATAATCGTTGTAGCTCATCATCAAACTTACATAGAAGGTAGGTATAAACAGAGAATATACGTGTCAAATATATATTACTTAATATGTGGTTAATAGCTCGTGTTGAGAATAGACGGTATGTCTGCGATTATGTCGCTATGTTACTCTCATGTATTTTTATATTCGTTAGACGTTATTCATTTAGTCGCTTGATACGAGTATGGAAAGGCATACAGAACCAACGATACTTTTTAATCCTCCATAAAATACCTTATGGCTACTTCTCGATAGTATACCTTAGTGTAACGGGAAAATTTTCGGAAATGGTCAAGCATTACGTAAACTAACTAGAAGTTGTCCATAAGGTATTTGTATTGGTATTTTATTGAACTGTTGTGAGTCGTGTACGGCTTTCTGTATTATGAGATAAACATGCTTATTTCTTGACTTCACATTCTTGAGACTGCTATACCTATTCAGTCTTACCTTTTGAAATAAGTGAAATTGTAACAGATTGGATACACCGCAGAGATTATTTCAAAACATTGCCTGTCCAAATGTAACAGTTTCTGTTCATGAAAATTCTCATCTGTTTTGTACTTTAATAACACTCATTAAACATCGCCTATGTTTGTTGTTGAATCACACAGTGGATTATAAAAGGAAAATGCACGGTAATTTGCTGAAAAATGTGATGAGTTTGTTGCTAGCTGTCATCATAACAATTATTGCATATACCATTGTGTTTGGATTAAGCAGACCGCAGACAAAATACCCCCCAAGTTTTCATGCATATGCGAAGAGTCAGGTTGCTGTCAAAAGCGACATTCAAGGCACAGAAATGGATACAAGCACAAATTCAAAACGTATGCACGACTGGGTGGCTATGAAAAAAACCGCTGTGTCGCTGATGCAACAACTTGACAAGATGACGTCACACTGGATGAGGGGCAAACAGCTTCTGGCTCTGTGGGAATAACTGTGACTAAACATATACGTTTACTAGTGCTTGCTAGAATGACAACAGGGTCCAAAG